TTTTTTCTTGTTTACGAGCTTTTCAAAGTTTCATATGTTCTCAACTCTGCTTTAAAATAAAATTTTTTAATCATAACTCAGTTATGGCTTTATGCAAACACTAACGGCATCATCTCATCGTGGTCACTACTTTTCTTTCCGCGATATGCCACGTCATTGTTTCCTTTCACTTCTCGTCGTTTCCTGGAAAAAGAGGTTGAGAAAAAGAAGTCAAAAGTATTTTAATAAGTATCGTTGGAGAAAAATAGACAAATAATTTAATAGAGTTCTAATGCCAAGCCTTTTATTGAAAAAAAGAAAAATTTATTGTCTCTTGCTTACTTGAAGTTTTTCCACATCTGCTGCACCACTTCAGTAGCAATAACTTCATTCGCATGGCTACCAATCATTTTCAAAATCACTACCACATCCGAGTTTATATGAAGCAGACAAAAATCTTCCATCATCATCTCTTCATCTGCAGCTGTTTTTATGAACCTACAATCATCTCGTTATAGCGGAGATGAAATAAAATCTTAAACATAGAGTAACTTGCTTAATTATAAATTGCATTCTTTGTTGTGCAAATCTTGTGTAATATGCGAGATTGATCGTATCTATGGCTGTTGCTATTCCGACGAGAATAAACCAAAAATAAAGGAAGAGGAAAATTTTTTCATTGAACATGTTCAATGATAATACGCATTGGATTGAATATCGTTGTAGGTTGCCGAGGACACGAACCTTGAAGTCAGAAATAAAAAATCTTATAAATTGTTTTAAAACAATAAAGGAAACAGCGCACTCACCTGGAAATCGCACATGGCTATACGAGGGAAATTACCTGAAATGCGGTTTTTTAGTTCGATATTTCAATTCTCGAGTATTCGAAATTTGTGTGCCCTCAGCATTGGAAAAGTCACAGTTGGTTTCTGCTTTTTCGTGCTTATCCTACGTACTCGAATGACAGAGGTCAGTGCAAATACAATGTGTGATACAGCCTACAGTACGCTGAGAGTTTTGTCGAAACGTAGTACTACCATATAATTACCAAGAAATGTTGCTCGCAGACAAAAGGGCTGACCTGGGGGGTAATACCTTTTTTCATAAAACTGATATATTTTTTTGGAAGACAAGAGAGCTGTAAATAAAACTCAGCCATCACTCATCTGAATACTTTCACTAATTTCACTATTTTCAAGATTTTACTTTTTCCTACTCTTCCCTTCCATTCTCTATCCTCGACGTTCTCTATTTATACCAAGCGTAACCTATTGAACGTCATCAATCTCTTCAATTGTCATGAATAAAAATTGCATCAAGCAACTAGGTGAAAAAGGGTGCGGCCTTTCAGTGCATGATTTAAAATGTGATTGTTCAATTTTCAAAACTTACCGCTAAGTTCCCAATCTGTACCAGTAAGGATATCACTCAAAATGTGTACCCCCCAGTAAGGGTCATTTTGTCCCAGAAACTTATTCATCATAAAGAATTGTCCAGCAAGATTAATGACATAGGAAATCTTTGTCATTAAGTAAACACTGAAAAAGCTTCAATTATAGAAAAACAACTAATCGATCTAAAACATAGTATTTGAAAAAAAAGAGTTAACGAACTTGCTAACATAGGTGCCATCTAGTTGTCCAAATTTAGCGATATGTTTCATAAATGATGCTCCTTCACTTCGTGAATGTTGCAGTTCAATGCTAGCTTCTAATTGGGAACAGATTACATTCAACTTCTTCTCTTTATCTGTATCCTGCAATGAGAGACCCCTTAACTTTCAATGGGTGAATTTCAAAATAGGAACAAAATCACTCACTACCTCGGCAATCTCAGCCGCTAGCGCTATTCGAACCAGATTTTCGATGTTCAAACCGGATTTGTTACTTACTTGACTCCAAAATACCACCGGCAGATAAAACAAAGCTGCCTCGAGGGCCATAATGAATGGTACCCATTGGTAGTAAATTAATTGTTGTGCAATTCTTCAAGCATTGTGATTGATGAGTTTGATTGAATAGGGAAGGATACTTGGTCGAAATGATTTTAAAAAAATATGTTGAATATAACATGAAATGCTGATTCCATTATTTCTTTCATATAAAGGTTCTTCTGGAAGTTTATTGATCTCCTTTTTTTTCTCTTTCAAAAATGGCTTTCAGAGCCTGGACTACAATGCTCAGAGGTCAACCTTGACCCAAACCAACAACGCAAAGTTTGAATTGATGATAATGTGCTCAAAACAAAAACATATAACTTCCTCAAAAAATCGCTTCACAAACCTAGAAGGCAGATTTGGTATCAGCGTTCCACCCTATATCTATCAGTTTGCATAATCGACACATTGACCAAGTATCCTTCCCTTGTTAGCTATGCTAACATGAGCATTACCTGAAACTGACCTTGTATCCACAGAATCTGGAACATCTTCATCAGGTCGTACCCAATACGTATTATACACAAAACAATAATTTTCTGCGTATTGTTCCCATGCTTTGGTAAACTAAAAATATCTAATCAATATATCGATCGTCTAAATATGAAGTAAATGGTAATACTCTTCAAACATGTCGCCAGTTTGATAACAGAACTACAAGTGTTGCCAAAAAAAGGATTTTTTGAAAAAAAGCGGGACTGTGGTTTGGGGTGGTAGGTTAGTTAGAAAGATATCACTCAATTTAAACATTCGTAGTGAAAGGCTATCTAGGTAGATAACTTATCTGAGCTGGTACCCAGCACTGAAGTGGTGATCCGACATACTGCTTAGCAGTAATGGTTACTGATAATACCATAATAACCATAGTAGAATAATAATAATTCAGTCGATCAATTCCAGAATCATCTAACCTTGAAATCAAACGATAAAGTAAGTTTTTATTGTATTTTGTATGGTCCTATCAATACTAAATTTAGTCACAGCTCAGACAATCAAATACTTTTGTACTAAATTGTCTATTTGCACAGATTCCGATCCTCTAGGTATTTACTTAAGTGATTACTCCTTGCTTACCTGGGTTTAATCGCTGTAACTGCAGAAGACAAAAAATTCATGACGACGTTTGGCTATTGATTCGAATGAGCAACAGAAGAACAAGAAGTTTTCTGGGATTCGATTGAGATCGGTGCGAAGGACCCGCTGAAGATTCGAGACGC